ATCAGAGATAGTTGAGAGAAGAAGAAAAAGTGTCAGTATATTAATTTAAATCACAACAATAATTAATAGAGGAACTAAGAATAATATAACTTTATTGGGAAGATGGGGGAAAGGAGATGAAGGACTAGTGTGAGTTACCTAGATCTTCTGCCATAGCTGGAAGTCAAGGGATAATTTCTAAAGTTGATTTCAAAAAGGGAAAAGTTCTTTCTTGTGGTAGATGGCCAGTATATAGAGGTAATGATGGAGTTAGGAAATCCCCATTTCACAACCATCATAATAAAATTTGATTCAGGCAAGAATCATCTATGGATGCATGGGGTATGGGCCAAGTTTGATAAGAAACAGAATATTTACTCAGCATCAAAGTTTCTCTTCATAATATACTTTTTTAAATGCTTTTATTTATTTATTTTAAGTAATCTCTATCCCCAACATGGAGCTTGAACTCATGACCCCAAGATCAAGAGTCGCATGCTCTTCTGACTGAGCCCCCCAGGCACCCCAACAATATACTCATTAATTGCAAAAGGAAAAACAGTAACTATACACTGGAGGCATATAAGAACACCTTAAGCAAGTGATTGAAGTAAGGGCAAACAGGGGCACCTGGTTGGTTCAGTTGCTCAGTCAGAAGAGCATGTGACTCTTGATCTCGAGGTTGTTAAGTTCAAGCCCCATGTTGTGTCTGGAGTCTACAATTGATTAATCAATCAATAAGGCAAACAGATATCATGTGCCTCTGGATATGATAACCTGGGAAGGACAAAACATCATTCATGTTGTATTCCACTCAAAAAATTTATAACCCGAGGGGCGCCTGGGTGGTTTAGTCATTAGGCATCTGCCTTCGGCTCAGGTCATGATCCCAGGGTCCTGGGATGGAGTCCAGAGTCGGGCTCCCTGCTCAGTGGGAAGCCTGCTTTTCCCTCTCTCACTCCCCCTGCTTGTGTTCCCTCTCTCACTGTGTCTCTGTCAAATAAATAAATAAAAACTAAAAAAAAAAAAAAAATTATAATCTGTATCTAATCATGAGGAAACAATATCAGACAAACCCAAATGAGAGACATTCTAAAAAACAACTGGCCTTTATTTTTCAGAAGTTTTAGTATCTTCATATTTTTTTAAAGGTTTTATTTATTTATTTGAGAGAGAGAGAGAG